CTTAACTCGATAAATGTACAAAGGAGACTTTAAACTCTACCATAAATTGAAAACCAGAATCATAATTAGGCATTAAAATTAATATGCTAAAAACAAACTACGTTATTTTCTGCAGTAACTAAACTTTATGTTGCTCTCCTTTTCTTAAAAAGGGGGCAGTACATGAAATGAGACATTTTCCTTTATGCAATCATAAGGATAACAGGGCATTCAGGAAAAGATATTTGCAGTTTGCTGTGTGTTCAGTGTCACTTCATGCTGTGTGCAGCACCTAAAATCACCGTGTCCTTCAGTCATTAGTTAGGGTTATGAAAGAAAAATAAATAAATAAATAAATAAAGCCACCTTGTCCTGCTAAGGTCCCTTGATAGGGGCTTATCAGGGAGCCTCAGATTTCAATAAATACTTAGCCTACTTGACACCTCCACTTGGCTATTTGGCAAGAACCTCAGGTCAGCAAGTCTCACCAGAACTCACGACTTCCTTTTCAATCAGGTTCTTTGCTCCTACCCTCAGTGAGTGGTGCCTCCACCTTCAAAGCAGGTGCTCAACCCAGAAACCCTTCCCTCTTCCCCACCCTCTGCTGTCCAGCTCTTCCCTACATCTTACAACTTCGACCTAGGTTTACTTCTCCTTTTATCTCTCCATCCCCACTGCCACGACTAATCCAAGCTAATGTCATCCCTTGCCTGAATGAATGTAAGAGCCAGTTTATCATTCTCCCTGTGTCTGCTCTTACCTTCCTCCAATCCAGTCTCTACTCTGCAGCCACAGCTATCCTTAAAAAATGCAAATCAGGTTATATAAATCCCTAGCTTGAAAGTATTCAATGGTTTCTAATCACCCTTAGGAGAAAGTTAAAAATTCTTAATGTGGCCTATGACACCCTTACCACCTCATTCAACTAGCCTCTCTCTGGCTCTCTATGCTCCAGCCTCCCCCGGATTTCTTTATTTCTTAATTATTCCAGGTGCTCTCTTGGTATTGGGACTTGAACATGCTCTTCCTTCTTCCTGAGAAACTGTTCTCCCCATGCTTTCCTTGTCTAACTCTTAGCCATCCTTTAGATCTCGATCTAGTTGTCCCTTCCTCAGAGAGGCCTTTCCTGAGCCCCCTCCGCTAAAGTTAGAGCACCCATGATTTGTTTCCATAGCATCCTCTGCTTCTAATTTTGCATCAGAAATAATTATTTGCATAATGTTTGAAAATCTCTCTACGCTGTAAGTCCATGAGCGCAGGGACCATGTCTGTTCTGTTTACTACTCCAAACTATTTACTACTCTATTTACTACTTTATTTGCTACCCTAAAACTGCTCTAAAAAATGAAGTCTACTAATTAAAAAAAAAAAGCTACAGAGGAAAGTGCAAACATGGGTGGTATTGTTAGTCATGACTCACAGGACCCTGAACAAAAAAGACTTAAAGTTCACAGTTCGAATGTTGAGTCTTCCACAAA